ATTAAGTAATTTTCATAAACAAGCTTTATTATGTTGGAATCTTATCATTAAACACAACTTCTCACCTCACAATTGTATTATTTGGAACAATACATATATTGTAAACAAAAATAAAACACTCTATCTACACAATTGGTCATTAAATAATGTAAACACTGTGAATAATCTACTAAACACTACTGGCGAAACATTATCCCACAAAGACTTCTTAGAAAAATATAATATTAATACTTCACAAGAAGAGTATAACATGGTAATTAAATCCATCCCTGTTTGTATTTTCTCTTTAGCACAGACCATACAATCAAACATTACCTTATCTGCAGCAGTCAGACCTCCAACTATTTCTGGGATTCCAATCACAGATAAGAAATGTAATAATTCTGTAGTTAGAAAAGTAATTGATCCTGTCTCAACCCCGATATGCAAACATCGATGGACTTTGATGAATACAAAACTCTGGAACAGGATCTTTCTGCTACCTCACCAATATATCATTGTGAATAAGATAAATGAAGTTTAATTCAAGATTGTTCATAGATATTACCCGTCAAAAGCAAACATCTGTTTTTTTTTTTCCAAATGTTTCTGACATCTGTACTTTTTGTGGTTGTAAGGGAGAAACTATTGCTTTCATGAAACTTTGTTTTGGTTCCAATTACAAAGATACATTTCCAGAAAGTTACAAAAAAATGTTTCTTTAAGCAAATATGAAATACTTCTTATTGTTAATAACCCTCATTTATCATCCAATGAAAAATACATAATTAACTTAGTCATTATTTTAGCAAAATATTATTTACATAAAATGATTTTTCAGAAAAGTATCCCCTCCTTCTATAATTTCAGAATTACAGACTTTATGAAATATTGGAACAGCATTGAAAAATTAAAAAAGAAGAACAATAAACTAACAAAGACCATAAACCTATTTCATCATTTCAACTTGGACACAGCAGACCCCTAAGTGTTATGTTTCTAAGTTATTTATGTTTTTGTCAGTTTTTTGTTTATTTCTTGTTTTTTTGTTTAATAGTTACCTAATGTTGCATGTATGTTATTGCAATTGTAAACAACTGTAAAATGTGATCCATGGATATATTGAATGTATTTTCTGAATGTATTGACAACAAGTTAATAAAACCTGTAAAAAAAAAAAAAGATTAGCCGAGGTACCTGCCCCCCAGCTCATCTACGTGGACCGCGACTGCTGCAAACAGGACGGCGTGTCCAAGATGGCTGCCTTATTTCTGGTATAAACTTGCATCGTTGCTGACTGACTTATTTAGTTGTTTATTTAATTTTTCATAGCAATGATTCGTTATTTTGTTGTGAATTACTTTAATGGATCACCAGGTCACCTGAATTTCTACCCAATGCCTTTCTGAAAATTTTAAAACAATCAGACACCCAAATAAATTTCTGTAAACTGTTCATTTTCAGGTGTCAGTAAAAGCTTAAGCTGATTTTATAATCTAATCACGCAGGAACGTCGGCCAGTGCCAAGTACTTCCAGGCGTTCCTGATTGATGGACTGGTCAGGTGGAACGAGGACCGCGCAGCGGCAGCTGAGGGACACGAGGCGCCTCTGCTGTCCTACAGTGGCCACCTCAGGCACGCCCTTAACCAGAAGAGCCAAAGGGTGTTTGGTCATCAGATGGTTAAGGACTTCACCAAGCCTGCTGCTTACACAGGTAGAGGAACAGAGAAACACGTTTTATTTACTCGTGATTTTTAATGACACTGTGCACCAATACTTTGCTAAGAAGGGGCTTTGAACCGTTTACATTTCCACAAAATCTCAGGTGAGCTCATCGGGGTGGAGTACCTGTTCCAGCAGACAGGCCGCGTGCTTGAGGACGTCAGCGTGGACCCTGACGCTCCGGACGAGGCTGCTGCCGTCACCGACCTGGACGAGGGCATACAGGAGGACATGGGCGACCACGTCGCCGCCTTCGTCCTTGACGACCCGTCCACCAGCACTTCAGGAGCAGCCCGGTCAGGGGATCCAGCTGTCGCACCCGGGTCTGAGCCATCACATCCTGCCGCCCCTGCGCATCACGCCCCTCCCGAGGTCCCTGGAAGCCAGACTCCTGAAGAGAAACACTCCTCTGATTCAGAGGTCTTTGATCCCCCCTCTGCTAATCATTTCACAGCTGACCCACCTAATTTTGTTTTTTCACGTATTCAGAGATAATTCAGAAATTTGACTTCTTTTTCCCATTTTCTTTGTTTCTCAGGAGGAGATCCAGGGTCCTGACGGCCAGCCAGGATACCAAGAAAACAAGCTGCAAGGAGCGAGAACAAGCACCATCCGTCTCGGCGGATGGTGCTTGTTCTTCTCGCTCCTTGCAGCTTGTTTTCTCGTGTTTTCTCGCGCTCACTCCGGGAGTCGAAGTGCGTAGGTTCGATTCCCTTCCCGCTCAGTGCGAATACAAAAGTGGAAATGTATGCGAAATCTGCATAATAACACTAATTATTATGTAAATAATTTTTCACAATTACCTCTTTAAATTTAATTATGATTGTGATGAACCACTGAGCTGTGAAATATATTTGTGATAATACACATGTAAAATATAGAATACATATGAAAAAATACATCTGTGTTGAAATATATTTGTGATGTCATAAAACATATGTAATAAATGTATGTGTCCAAGATCATAAAAACTTTCAAAGATTTAAAGTGTTTTCGTTTATATATATATATATATATATGAAATAAAAGAAAAAGTCTTTAAAAAGAAAAATCCAAAAGATGAAGACAGTTTTTCTGTCTTGGTCCCTCAGCTCCTCGACACATCCAATCTCCCTCCAGTGTTATTCATCTCCTCCTCCCTCCACTCCTCTACAGACTTTTCCGCCAACAGATGCGCAGTAGGACACGCCTGCAGTGTGTGTCCAGTGTCCAGCCGCTTGGGCTGACCACATCTGCTGCAGGTGTACTGCAGGCGGGCTGTCTTTGATGGTGGAGCCTGCACGCTAGCAGCAGCTGCAGCAGTAGCCTCCGCTACCTTCCTATACGAATGAAATCGACCTAGGCATAGACATTCTCTTAATTATCTTTGGAACTCATGACTTCAAATAAAAGTTTTTAAATTCTTGCAGTGAGCTTTTATTGTGAAGTTCCTTTCTTTACATGTCCATGTGTACAGCAGGTTGTTAACACATTTAGATTGTTGGTATTCTTGTCGGATCATTTATTTACTGAAGAAAACAGCTTGTTCCCTCAGCTCTTCAACGCATCCATTCTCCCGTCCTTTTCAGGTGTAGATAGCACATCTTTGGAGGAGTTTACAGGAAAACAGGAGCTTGGGTGAGGAAATTAATAAACCACTGAGGACGAAGGTTAGAAATAGTGTGACTGGACAAAAATCCCAACAACAAACCAGGTGTGGTTCACAGATAAACAGCCAGCAAACGTGGGGCGAAAACCTCGTCACACATGTGAGGAGAAACTGCTGCTGAGCAGCAGGTGGTGGAGCGGATTTTTTACAAGCCACATTTATTACACGTTAGAGAGCTTCACAATTATGTTTGAGTTCAGCAGTGTCACCGGTTCATTATTGGGTTTCTTCATCGACTCCACAGAACTAAGTTTCTCTGTCTAAAGTCCTAAATTACTTTATTAATCCCAGAAGGAAGTTAAGATTTGTCTTAACTAATTATTCAAAGCAGTCATTAAAATAAATACTAGTAATAATAATGAGCTCAGTTGGAAATCTGAGTGGTTAAAGATGCTGAAGGCTGTGGGCAGGATGGATCTCCTGTGTTACAGCAGCTCTGAAGAAGATGCTTGTTGCATGAAGAGGATGCTCAGTGTTGTCTATAATGTTATTGATTTTATGAAAAATCCTTCTTTGCACCATCATCTCCAGTGGTTCTCAGTCGTCTCCAGAACAGAACCAGCCTTTTTGCCAGGTTATTGAGCCTTTTTAGGTCCCTGCTGGCTCTGATGCTGCTGCCCCAACAGCTGGTGGCCCAAGAGATCTCAACAGACCTGTAAAAGATCTGCAGCCTCTTGCTGCAGACCTTGAAGGATCTAAAATATTATTCAAGATATACAGTCTACTCAGTCCCTTCTTGGAGATGGCTTCATGCTTGTGTCTCCAGTCCAGTCTGTTGTCCAGATGAACACCGAGGTATTTGTAATCTTCCACCACCTCCCCCTACTCCCCAATAATGCATGTTGAGCTATTCCCGTTTCTTTCTAAATCATCCAATTTGGTTTGTTCACATTCAAGATTATGTGAGTGTCCCCACACCACGCCACAAAGTGGTCCACCAGCTCTCTGTACTCTTGACCATCTCTCATAAACCCGACGACTGCAGAATCGTCTGAGTCTTTCTGCAGATGACAGGTCTCCGACTTGTTCTGGAAGTCTGCAGAGTGAAAAGGAATGGGGAGAGTACTGTACAGGCATCAAATGTACAATTGTGGAATAAGTTTCCCAACGAGCAGATCAGTATAATATAACATTAAACAAAGAACATAAACAGGGAAATACCAGTTTAAAAACATGCTTTTACACACATAATACAGAAAACAGAGAACTTTGTGCCAACTGGGGACGTGGTGAAAGATCATTTCACACTACTCTCCTCCTCCTTAGTTCAGAAGAAAATATTACCATATCTTAAACATCGCTCGTAGGACAACAAACTGTTTTTTTAACATGTTAAAAGTCTAATTGTTTTTTTAAAGTAACAATTGTACGTCTCAGTCACTTCAGTAGTGGAGGAACGCCAGCTCAGAGTGAAAGAGGATCTATTTCAGAGTTGAAACAATCCAGCTCTCTGATTGGATGCTGAAAACCTGTGCTTCTCAAAATTGAAACAACCCAGTCATTTGATTGGTCAAATGTTGGAACTGCGCAGGGGGACACGCCCCTAACTGCTTCATAACAATGTCATATTAGGGTTAGTTATGTTATTTAAAAAAAATGAGGAACGCTTCACGAATTTGCGTGTCATCCTTGCGCCTGCGCCTAGGGGAGGCAGTTCTTCTCAGTCCATTTGTTCCATTTTTCCATTGGGTTAACCAATCAAATGGCTTGTTCCGAGTTTCCATTGGGTTAACCAATCAAATGGCTGTATCAACCGGTGGCCGGTTTTGTTCCATGCCCGAGCGATCCGCCATTGCTCCACATTGCTCTGAGAGATCTGAGAGGTAAGAAGTAACTATCTTTTATACTTTTTATTTGTAAACTTACAAAAATTTAAAGCATTACAGCTCGTTTAGCGGGATTAAGACGGTACAGGACTTTGTTTTTACCTTAATGTTGTGAAATGTTAACATTGTTTTAGCTAGCTAGCGTGCTGCTGCATTAGCTACTGCTAACCAATATGTGCTTGTATTTACGTAATTTTTTAAATGAACACCATCCTGGTTGCATTAAAAACCACATGTAAGTATTTATTCAACCATGTTGTTCATCATCACGATCGTGCATGTTTGTGCTCTGATTAGTTTTAGCTTCACTTATAGAAAATCCAGCCAATAACTGGGTTTGCTAATTAGCTTTTGGCTAGTAGAAAATGTGAGTGTTTGTTTCTCATGTTGTTTATTTCACATAAGACAGGACAGCACGTCATGTAAACTAATAATAACATTAATGAAAAATAAGATAATCTGTTACTGATCAGCAGTTGCTAAGGTTTGGTATGAACTGTAAACCTGGTTTTTCTGCAGCTTCTCATCCAGTCGTTTCCTCCTTTATTTAGATGGAACATCCAAATTTTAAAAAGGCTCACAATGGGACCCTGATCCTCAGGGCCTCAGATGAGGCAAAGGCCGTGGGACCCCAGAGGCAGGGGTACAGGGCCAAGCAGCCAGAGGAGGTGGAGGCGGATGCAAGGGCCCACGTCACCAGCGAGGGTGGTGATGTCAACAACGCCACCCTCGTGCTGAGCCGGTGGAAGGTCCAGTTTGGGACCTACCAGGGCAAGACTTTCCACTGGCTCCTGCAGAATGACGTGGGCTATGCCGTGATGCTGGTGGCTTCTCACCAGAAGGAGCGAGAGAGGACAGGCTCTCAGTCCCCTCTGATGGCCAACAAGGTGGGATCTCTCAGGTCCCCTCCTCTGTGCATAACAGAGTTTGATCATTCTAACCTTCACTTTGTGAACACACAGGACGCCTTCACCCGTTACTCCTTGGCGTACCCGGAGTTTGCTGAGGCGGTGCGGTTCCGGCAGGCGTTTGAGGAGGCGCGGGTGAAGTCCCTCCAGCCTGGTCAGGAGGGACAGGCCCTTGTTGGCTTTGGGGACTTCAAGTTTGAGAGCCTGCAGAGCCTGTACGACTCCAAGGACCCCAAAACGATCCGGTGGTTACTTTTATTAATAATGATGATGATGATGGTATTATTTATAATAACAGTAATAATCCACTTAGTTTGTAAGTTCCTTTCTAGACAGCCATGGTCTCCCACCAATAGAGTCAAAACACAACAACAACTTACAAGTTAGTCTGAATGAACTTCTGTGTTTCACCTGTACAGGTTTGTCAACTACCTAAGGAGGATGACGCCAGCTCCAGGCTCGCAGATGGAGAACGCCGTCCGCTACGTGAAGAAGAGGGACAGACAGAGGGAGGGCGCTACTGCTGCATCTGCCGCTGCCACCAGCACCACCTCCACCCCAGTGGCTGCCTCCGCCTCCAGCAGCAGCAGAGTGTCTGTCTGTCCTTCTTACCAGAGGCCGAAGGCTGCTTCTCAGTATGTTTTCTGTCTATTTGATCTCTGATGGTTTACAACACCTTAAAATAACATTCTGTTAAACAAACACTTTGTCACCTTTCAGATTTGCAGCCTTTGTGTCTGGGCGGCGTTCTCTGTCTGCGGTGGAAATGCAGGCAAAACTAAAAAAGATGGTGGCCCCTAAGCCTGCATTTCCATGTAAGTCTGTTTAATGATCTCGTTTGTATTCTTGTACTCGAGGTCAGCACATTGAGTGTTTCACACTCACGCTTTCTGGGGCAGAAGCCTGATGTTTGATGATTTGATTTCCAGCCTCCTCAAGACCAGCTCGTCCACCCACAGCATCTGGGGAGCCCAGTGATGAAGAGCTGGTCCAGGCGGTAGTTGACCAAGGGCAACGTAAGTGACAGAAATGTGCTCTTTTCATATTTTGTTGGTAACAGTCAGACACCTGGTGCTCATTAATCGTCAGATCCTCGTCTCTCTAGCTGCTTCCTGCTTTGACTTGTGGTGTCTGTGCAGCTCACAGTTCAACTGATTTGTTTCTAGTCACTAACTCGTGGCCCTTGTGCTTCAGCTTCTGGAGTACAGGCACCTCTCCCGCTCCCTCCTCCTCCTCCTTCTCCGCCGCCTCCTGTGGCTGCAAAAAAAACGTCTGCGGGACGGGAGGAACCCACAGACGAGGAACTCCTGGAGGCCGCACAAGAAACTCCAGCGCTCCCTGCTGCAGTCCTCCCTCCCCCACCTCCTGCTGCCAGCTCTAAGGTGAGGCATCAGACATTAATTCAATTCAAAGAAACTTCATTAATTCCAGAGGGAAATTAGTTTCAGTACACAATTCTGAGAGCAGACATATATGGGCATAGACACATGACAAGAGTTGGTGACTGCAACCCGAGTCGCCTTTCTCACTCTGCTGCTTTGTTTTCTCTCTCTCTCTCTCTCTAGTTGCTGCCTGAGTCCTGGAAGGCAGCTCTGACTGCCGAACAGCAGGAGTGGATCGGCCGGGTGCTGTTCACCAGGGACCGTGCTGGGAGGCCGCGTCTCATCACGGAGCTCAGTCCCTGGTGGTACCCTCCCCAGCCCCGGGCGGTCTACACTCAGCCTCCCGCCTCTCCCGACCCCTTCTTTGCATGTCGGCTCTTCCTGTGGATGCCTCACAGGATGTGGCACCTGCAGCTGACGTGCCCCCAGCCTTTGTGCAGCGGCATCCTGATAAAGGCTGGGCTCTACAGGACCATCCGGAGGGTCCTGGACATCGACGGCTGGTATCTCATGGCCACTGAGTACCTGGAGTGCCGTCGATGTAAGAAGAAGGTCGGAGGGTGGTCGCAGGGCATCGTAAGGCAGCTGCCCCCCACCTACAGCTGCCAGTTTCCAGCTGTACTCACGTACAAGTATGAGAGAAGTGAAACTGTGTGCTCATGCGGGTGTGTCCAGCAGAGTTTAATGTGGTAATGTTTGTTTTGTTCACGCAGGCTGTCCTGTGACCAGAGGGTGGTTGCTATGCTGAGATCGCGCACTCTGGGCAACAGTGCCACTCAGCTGTGCAACACCCTGCGGGAGCAGCATTCCGACGCCTGGATGCGGAGAGCGATTCAGTACATCGGCGTCTGCGAGCAGTTCCTGGCCTTGGGTACCACGAGAGGGCAGATCGCACTACCTCCCCAGATGCCCCCTGTGCCCTCACCCGTCTGGCTGCTGACCGTTTACGGTTACGACGTGCTGACGCGGCTGGACGAGTACAAGGCCAGGATCACGTCCACCTTCGGATCCATCCTAAAGATGGATTCCACAAAGAAGGTCGGTCACCGCGTTGTGTTTACTTGCTGCTTGTGAACAACAGTTCTGCTGGTCCTTACGCAGGAAGTTCTCTGTGTGCAGGTGACGAAGAAGCTCGCAGGTGCCGCCTCTGGCACGGCCGCCTGGTCTACCAACGTGGGCAACGAGCACGGCCAGGTCCTCATGAGCGTCCTCACTTGCTGCGAGGGCTCCGAGGGCCTGTCCAAGATGGCGGCCGGACTGATGAGGCGGTACCGATTGGCCGAGGTACCTGCCCCCCAGCTCATCTACGTGGACCGCGACTGCTGCAAACAGGACGGCGTGTCCAAGACGGCTGCCTTATTTCCGGTATGAACTTGCATCGTTGCTGACTGACTTATTTAGTTGTTTATTTAATTTTTCATAGCAGTGATTCGTTATTTTGTTGTGAATTACTTTCATGGATCACCAGGTCACCTGAATTTCTACCCAATGTCTTTCTGAAAATTTTAAAACAATCAGACACCCAAATAAATTTCTGCAAAAGACAATTTATAGAGCAGTGAATGTTTTCGGGGTTCTGATCTTGACTGTGGTGCAGGTAAAACATGGTGTGCAACACTCCAATGACTAACCTCTCTGTCGCAGGAGTGGGAACGGCTCATTGTTCGGCTGGACATCTGGCATCTGATGCGCCGCTTCGCATCAGGTGTCACCACAGAGAGCCACGAGCTGTATCCCACCTTCATGAGGCAGCTGTCTTACTGCATCTTCGAGGTGGACGCCGAAGATGCTCGCCGTCTCGTGGGAGCAAAGCGGTCCGAGCTGGAGGGGACGCACGGGATGGTCAACCTGACGGACGCTGATGTGATCCAGCGGATCAGCAAGGAGGAGTGGAGGCTCCACTGCCGCAGGAGGACGCGTGGAGCCGAGGAGTCTACGCTCCTCATCCAAAACCTCCTTGACACCTTCAGAGGGCCCGCAGGACACAACACGCTGAACATCCCGTTGCTAAACGCTCTCCGCATCCAGGACATCTGGGACACGCAGAGGCGCCACCTCAGCTGCATCCAGGACCCCCCTGGCGTGCAGCTGTACACCCAGACGGGCAGTCTGCAGAAAGGAGGGGTCACACTGCCCGTCTATCGCTGCGCGAGGGGCTCCACTTCCCTGGAGTCCTTCCATCTCCACCTGAACCGCTTCATCCCAGGTGAGAAACCAGAGTCTGTCAAGAAATCTGTTTTATTTCTGTAAACTGTTCCTTTTCAGGTGTCAGTAAAAGCTTGAGCTGATTTTCTCATCTAATCACGCAGGAACGTCGGCCAGTGCCAAGTACTTCCAGGCGTTCCTGATTGATGGACTGGTCAGGTGGAACGAGGACCGCGCAGCGGCAGCTGAGCGACACAAGGCGCCTCTGCTGTCCTACAGTGGCCACCTCAGGCACGCCCTTAACCAGAAGAGCCAAAAGGTGTTTGGTCTTCAGATGGTTAAGGACTTCACCAAGCCTGCTGCTTACACAGGTAGAGGAACAGAGAAACACCTTTTATTTACTCGTGATGTTTAATGACACTGTGCACCAATGCTTTGCTAAGAAGGGGCTTTGAACCGTTTACATTTCCACAAACTCTCAGGTGAGCTCATCGGGGTGGAGTACCTGTTCCAGCAGACAGGCCGCGTGCTTGAGGACATCAGCATGGACCCTGACGCTCCGGACGAGGCTGCTGCCATCACCGACCTGGACGAGGTGGACGAGGGCATCCAGGAGGACGTGGGTGACTTTGTCGCTGCCTTCGTCCTTGACGTCCCGTCCACCAGCACCTCAGGAGCAGCCCGGTCAGGGGATCCAGCTGTCGCACCCGGGTCTGAGCCAGCACATCCTGCCGCCCCTCCCGAGGTCCCTGGAAGCCAGGCTCCTGAAGGAAACCACTCCTCTGATTCAGAGGTCTTTGATCCCCCCTCTGCTAATCATTTCACAGCCGACCAACCTAATTTTTTTTTTTTCTCGTATTCAAAGATATTTCAGAAATTTAACTTCTTTTTCCCATTTTCTTTGTTTCTCAGGAGGAGATCCAGGGTCCTGACGGCCAGACAGGATACCAGCATGTCCTGAAGCTGGCTCAGGCCCTGGTGGAGCTCAGGAGTCTCCAGGGACTGTCTGACAGCAGGGTAGACAGACTCATCGCGCTTTGGCAACGCCTGCCAGAGCGAGACAAACAACGGATCGTCTACCCTAGCAGATACCGGGAGAGGCAACCAAAGGGGCGGTTCAAGGCAGCGAAGGGGAAGGACACCTCCTGTCCAGGGGTAGTGAGTCTCCAGCGGTACGAACTTTTTTCCTGAATCTCACTGTTGCCGTCGACGTGTTCTGTCCGTTAAAACGACTTCCCCGTCTTTATCTTCCAGCTGCCTTGGAGGAGAACCCTCGGGCGCTGCAAATTGGCCAGACGCCAGCCGTGTGGTGGAGGCCATGTGCAGCCAGCTCTGCCATCTGTACCCTGCGGCCAGTCGCGTGGACGGGGTCAGCAGGTCACGCTGGTTCCTAATCTGCAACGACTACATGGCCGTCAGACAGGTGGTGCTTAATTGCCCGAGGCTGATGGCTCAGACCCAGCTTCAGCTCTATGAGCTGAACCAAAAGACCATCTCTCAATGGTGAGAACTGGTAGATCTTTGCTCGTGTTTCAGACTTCAGGTTAAAGCTTGCAGCCTCAACTCCGCTCATCCTCTTGTCCTTCCAGGTTCAGCTATAGACAGAAGAGGTGGGAGAAAGGTGTGCTGGAGCAGGGGACTGGTGCCGTTTCTGCTCCAACTTTCTCCCACCAGCCCATCCCTTCTGCCAAAGGGCTGTCCTCCGTACAGGTGGGAAGAGGACAGCCCTTTAATTACAACATCCCTGAGGAGCAACAACCTGGTCCCTCCTCCAGGGGACTGCCGCCGCCACCGCTACCTCCACCTGCTCCTCATCCCGGTCCCTCTACCAGCTGCAACCTCCCTCCTCCTTCTGCTCAGAGCCTGCACGTCATTCATCTATTCCTGGGATCCACTCCGCTGACTCCTCCTGTTCTGACTGTACCAAGGACGACAGCATTTAGGAGGAGGAAGGCAGCGGAGGCTGCTGCTGCTGCTGGCGTGCAGGCTCCCCCATCAAAGACAGCCCGCCAGCAGTTCACCTGCAGCAAATGTGGTCAGCCCAAGCGGCTGGACACTGGACACACCCGCATTGCAGGTGTGTCGTACTGCGCAACTGTTGGCGGGAAGTCTGTAGAGGAGTGGAAGAAGGAGATGAAGAGCAAGACTGGAGGAGGGCCAGAAAAACAGTGACTTTTGGGGACATTTGCTCATTTTGGAACTTGTAAATATTGTAAATAATTTTTAGATCATCTTCAATGTTTTTTTATTGTTTTTTTCAATATTAAAATGATACACTTTAAATGTCAGACTATTTTTACGACCTTGGACACATAAATTTATTACATGTTTTTATAACATAATATATTTGAACACAGATACATTTATTACATGTTTTTTATAACATAACAAATATATTTGAACACAGATACATTTATTACATGTTTTTTATAAAATAACAAATATATTTGAACACAGATAAATTTATTACATGTTTTTATAACATAACAAATATATTTGAACACAGATAAATTTATTACATGTTTTTATAACATAACAAATGTATTTGAACACAGATGTCATGGCTGGGTGGCAATTTCTTGACCCACGACATGCAGAATCACCACACGGGGAGCAGGAATGTCAGTAAAAAGGTTTTTATTACTAAATAAGGAGAAAAGTAAGAGACGGGAACCGACGAGATGCAGGACTGGCAGCAGGAATCCAGGATGAGATTCTAAGGAGGGAGACAGAGTGAATATAAGGCGGAAAACAAATGGGAACTTATCTGGAGACTGGTCTTACTGTTACTTGGTAGTGGTAATTGTACGGGAAGGATTGTCTGGTCCGGGTGAGCTGAGGAGATCCAAAGGTCAGGTATTGATTGTCCAGAGGTGGAGGAGCAGGAATGGATGTTGATTGGTGAGCGGCTGAGAGCGGGCGGCCAGGGGATGAAGCAGTGCGTCAGGTAGACTGAGATCTGGGCTTGTTCTGGAGCTGATGATGAATTGAGAGGAACCTGGGGGAGAGCAGGAGAGGGCATTAAGGGGTTTTACAGGCGACAGGTTAACAAGACCACGGACCATGACAACAGATACATTTATTACATGTTTTTTTATAACATAACAAATATATTTAAACACAGATACATTTATTACATGTTTTTTTATAACATGACAAATCTATTTGAACACAGATACATTTTTTTTTCATATATGTTCTATAATTTTACATGTGTATTATCACAAATATATTTCACAGCTCAGTGGTTCATCCCAATTTTAACTACATTTAAATTGGTAATTATACAAAAACATTTATATAATTAGTATTATTAGCATGTAGTATATATGAATAAGTATTATTAGGCATATTATCGCTTTATCTTTATTTCCACTTTGTATTCGCACCGAGCGGGAGTCGAACCCACGCACTTGGACTCCGGGAGTGAGCGCGAGAAACTACGAGAAAAGACGAGAAAAAGCAAGCTGCGGGAGTGAGCGCGAGAAACTACGAGAAAAGACGAGAAAAAGCAAGCTCCAAGGAGCGAGAAGGACCGAGAACAACAAGCACCATGCTTGCGCAAGCATGGTGCTTGTTGTTCTCGGTCCTTCTCGCTCCTTGCAGCTTGCTTTTTCTCGTCTTTTCTCGTAGTTTCTCGCGCTCACTCCCGCAGCTTGCTTTTTCTCGTCTTTTCTCGTAGTTTCTCGCGCTCACTCCCGGAGTCCAAGTGCGTGGGTTCGACTACCGCTTGGTGCGAATACAAAGTGGAAATAAAGATAAAGCGATAATATGCCTAATAATACTTATTCATATATACTACATGCTAATAATACTAATTATATAAATGTTTTTGTATAATTACCAATTTAAATGTAGTTAAAATTGGGATGAACCACTGAGCTGTGAAATATATTTGTGATAATACACATGTAAAATTATAGAACATATATGAAAAAAAAATGTATCTGTGTTCAAATAGATTTGTCATGTTATAAAAAAACATGTAATAAATGTATCTGTGTTTAAATATATTTGTTATGTTATAAAAAAAACATGTAATAAATGTATCTGTTGTCATGGTCCGTGGTCTTGTTAACCTGTCGCCTGTAAAACCCCTTAATGCCCTCTCCTGCTCTCCCCCAGGTTCCTCTCAATTCATCATCAGCTCCAGAACAAGCCCAGATCTCAGTCTACCTGACGCACTGCTTCATCCCCTGGCCGCCCGCTCTCAGCCGCTCACCAATCAACATCCATTCCTGCTCCTCCACCTCTGGACAATCAATACCTGACCTTTGGATCTCCTCAGCTCACCCGGACCAGACAATCCTTCCCGTACAATTACCACTACCAAGTAACAGTAAGACCAGTCTCCAGATAAGTTCCCATTTGTTTTCCGCCTTATATTCACTCTGTCTCCCTCCTTAGAATCTCATCCTGGATTCCTGCTGCCAGTCCTGCATCTCGTCGGTTCCCGTCTCTTACTTTTCTCCTTATTTAGTAATAAAAACCTTTTTACTGACATTCCTGCTCCCCGTGTGGTGATTCTGCATGTCGTGGGTCAAGAAATTGCCACCCAGCCATGACATCTGTGTTCAAATACATTTGTTATGTTATAAAAACATGTAATAAATTTATCTGTGTTCAAATATATTTGTTATTTTATAAAAAACATGTAATAAATGTATCTGTGTTCAAATATATTATGTTATAAAAACATGTAATAAATTTATGTGTCCAAGGTCGTAAAAATAGTCTGACATTTAAAGTGTGTATCATTTTAATATTGAAAAAAACAATAAAAAAACATTGAAGATGATCTAAAAATTATTTACAATATTTACAAGTTCCAAAATGAGCAAATGTCCCCAAAAGTCACTGTTTTTCTGGCCCTCCTCCAGTCTTGGTCTTCATCTCCTTCTTCCACTCCTCTACAGACTTCCCGCCAACAGTTGCGCAGTAGGACACACCTGCAATGCGGGTCAGTGTCCAGCCGCTTGGGCTGACCACATTTGCTGCAGGTGAACTGCTGGCGGGCTGTCTTTGATGGGGGAGCCTGCACGCCAGCAGCAGCAGCAGCCTCCGCTGCCTTCCTCCTCCTAAATGCTGTCGTCCTTGGTACAGTCAGAACAGGAGGAGTCAGCGGAGTGGATCCCAGGAATAGATGAATGACGTGCAGGCTCTGAGCAGAAGGAGGAGGGAGGTTGCAGCTGGTAGAGGGACCGGGATGAGGAGCAGGTGGAGGTAGCGGTGGCGGCGGCAGTCCCCTGGAGGAGGGACCAGGTTGTTGCTCCTCAGGGATGTTGTAATTAAAGGGCTGTCCTCTTCCCACCTGTACGGAGGACAGCCCTTTGGCAGAAGGGATGGGCTGGTGGGAGAAAGTTGGGGCAGAAACTGCACCAGTCCCCTGCTCCAGCACACCTTTCTCCCACCTCTTCTGTCTATAGCTGAACCTGGAAGGACAAGAGGATGAGCGGAGTTGAGGCTGCAAGCTTTAACCTGAAGTCTGAAACACGAGCAAAGATCTACCAGTTCTCACCACTGAGAGATGGTCTTTTGGTTCAGCTCATAGAGCTGAAGCTGGGTCTGAGCCATCAGCCTCGGGCAATTCAGCACCACCTGTCTGACGGCCATGTAGTCGTTGCAGATTAGGAACCAGCGTGACCTGCTGACCCCGTTCACGCGACTGGCCGCAGGGTACAGATGGCAGAGCTGGCTGCACATGGCCTCCACCACACGGCTGGCGTCTGGCCAATTTGCAGCGCCCGAGGGTTCTCCTCCAAGGCAGCTGGAAGATAAAGACGGGGAAGTCGTTTTAACGGACAGAACACGTCGACGGCAACAGTGAGATTCAGGAAAAAAGTTCGTACCGCTGGAGACTCACTACCCCTGGACAGGAGGTGTCCTTCCCCTTCGCTGCCTTGAACCGCCCCTTTGGTTGCCTCTCCCGGTATCTGCTAGGGTAGACGATCCGTTGTTTGTCTCGCTCTGGCAGGCGTTGCCAAAGCGCGATGAGTCTGTCTACCCTGCTGTCAGACAGTCCCTGGAGACTCCTGAGCTCCACCAGGGCCTGAGCCAGCTTCAGGACATGCTGGTATCCTGGCTGGCCGTCAGGACCCTGGATCTCCTCCTGAGAAACAAATAAAATGGGAAAAAGAAGTTAAATTTCTGAACTATCTTTGAATACGTGAAAAAAACAAAATTAGGTTGGTCGGCTGTGAAATGATTAGCAGATGGGGGATCAAAGACCTCTGAATCAGAGGAGTGGTTTCCTTCAGGAGCCTGGCTTCCAGGGACCTCGGGAGGGGCGGCAGGATGTGCTGGCTCAGACCCGGGTGCGACAGCTGGATCCCCTGACCGGGCTGCTCCTGAGGTGCTGGTGGACGGGACGTCAAGGACGAAGGCAGCGACAAAGTCACCCACGTCCTCCTGGATGCCCTCGTCCACCTCGTCCAGGCCGGTGACGGCAGCAGCCTCGTCCGGAGCGTCAGGGTCCATGCTGATGTCCTCAAGCACGCGGCCTGTCTGCTGGAACAGGTACTCCACCCCGATGAGCTCACCTGAGAGTTTGTGGAAATGTAAACGGTTCAAAGCCCCTTCTTAGCAAAGTATTGGTGCACAGTGTCATTAAACATCACGAGTAAATAAAAGGTGTTTCTCTGTTCCTCTACCTGTGTAAGCAGCAGGCTTGGTGAAGTCCTTAACCATCTGAAGACCAAACACCTTTTGGCTCTTCTGGTTAAGGGCGTGCCTGAGGTGGCCACTGTAGGACAGCAGAGGCGCCTTGTGTCGCTCAGCTGCCGCTGCGCGGTCCTCGTTCCACCTGACCAGTCCATCAATCAGGAACGCCTGGAAGTACTTGGCACTGGCCGACGTTCCTGCGTGATTAGATGAGAAAATCAGCTCAAGCTTTTACTGACACCTGAAAATAAACAGTTTACAGAAATAAAACAGATTTCTTGACAGACTCTGGTTTCTCACCTGGGATGAAGCGGTTCAGGTGGAGATGGAAGGACTCCAGGGAAGTGGAGCCCCTCGCGCAGCGATAGACGGGCAGTGTGACCCCTCCTTTCTGCAGACTGCCCGTCTGGGTGTACAGCTGCACGCCAGGGGGGTCCTGGATGCAGCTGAGGTGGCGCCTCTGCGTGTCCCAGATGTCCTGGATGCGGAGAGCGTTTAGCAACGGGATGTTCAGAGTGTTGTGTCCTGCGGGCCCTCTGAAGGTGTCCAGGAGGTTTTGGATGAGGAGCGTCGACTCCTCGGCTCCACGCGTCCTCCTGCGGCAGTGGAGCCTCCACTCCTCCTTGCTGATCCGCTGGATCACATCAGCGTCCGTCAGGTTGACCATCCCGTGCGTCCCCTCCAGCTCGGACCGCTTTGCTCCCACGAGACGGCGAGCATCTTCGGCGTCCACCTCGAAGATGCAGTAAGACAGCTGCCTCATGAAGGTGGGATACAGCTCGTGGCTCTCTGTGGTGACACCTGATGCGAAGCGGCGCATCAGATGCCAGATGTCCAGCCGAACAATGAGCCGTTCCCACTCCTGCGACAGAGAGGTTAGTCATTGGAGTGTTGCACACCATGTTTTACCTGCACCACAGTCAAGATCGGAACCCTGAACACATTCACTGCTCTATAATTTGTCTTTTACAGAAATTTATTTGGGTGTCTGATTGTTTTAAATTTTTCAGAAAGACATTGGGTAGAAATTCAGGTGACCTGGTGATCCATGAAAGTAATTCACAACAAAATAACGAATCACTGCTATGAAAAATTAAATAAACAACTAAATAAGTCAGTCAGCAACGATGCAAGTTTATACCGGAAATAAGGCAGCCGTCTTGGACACGCCGTCCTGTTTGCAGCAGTCGCGGTCCACGTAGATGAGCTGGGGGGCAGGTACCTCGGCTAATCGGTACCGCCTCATCAGTCCGGCCGCCATCTTGGACAGGCCCTCGGAGCCCTCGCAGCAAGTGAGGACGCTCATGAGGACCTGGCCGTGCTCGTTGCCCACGTTGGTAGACCAGGCGGCCGTGCCAGAGGCGGCACCTGCGAGCTTCTTCGTCACCTGCACACAGAGAACTTCCTGCGTAAAGACCAGCAGAACTGTTGTTCACAAGCAGCAAGTAAACACAACGCGGTGACCGACCTTCTTTGTGGAATCCATCTTTAGGATGGATCCGAAGGTGGACGTGATCCTGGCCTTGTACTCGTCCAGCCGCGTCAGCACGTCGTAACCGTAAACGGTCAGCAGCCAGACGGGTGAGGGCACAGGGGGCATCTGGGGAGGTGGTGCGATCTGCCCTCTCGTGGTACCCAAGGCCAGGAACTGCTCGCAGACGCCGATGTACTGAATCGCTCTCCGCATCCAGGCGTCGGAATGCTGCTCCCGCAGGGTGTTGCACAGCTGAGTGGCACTGTTGCCCAGAGTGCGCGATCTCAGCATAGCAACCACCCTCTGGTCACAGGACAGCCTGCGTGAACAAAACAAACATTACCACATTAAACTCTGCTGGACACACCCGCATGAGCACACAGTTTCACTTCTCTCATACTTGTACGTGAGTACAGCTGGAAACTGGCAGCTGTAGGTGGGGGGCAGCTGCCTTACGATGCCCTGTGACCACCCTCCGACCTTCTTCTTACATCGACGGCACTCCAGGTACTCAGTGGCCATGAGATACCAGCCGTCGATGTCCAGGACCCTCCGGATGGTCCTGTAGAGCCCAGCCTTTATCAGGATGCCGCTGCACAAAGGCTGGGGGCACGTCAGCTGCAGGTGCCACATCCTGTGAGGCATCCACAGGAAGAGCCGACATGCAAAGAAGGGGTCGGGAGAGGCGGGAGGCTGAGTGTAGACCGCCCGGGGCTGGGGAGGGTACCACCAGGGACTGAGCTCCGTGATGAGACGCGGCCTCCCAGCACGGTCCCTGGTGAACAGCACCCGGCCGATCCACTCCTGCTGTTCGGCAGTCAGAGCTGCCTGCCAGGACTCAGGCAGCAACTAGAGAGAGAGAGAGAAAACAAAGCAGCAGAGTGAGAAAGGCGACTCGGGTTGCAGTCACCAACTCTTGTCATGTGTCTATGCCCATATATGTCTGCTCTCAGAATTGTGTACTGAAACTAATTTCCCTCTGGAATTAATGAAGTTTCTTTGAATTGAATTAATGTCTGATGCCTCACCTTAGAGCTGGCAGCAGGAGGTGGGGGAGGGAGGACTGCAGCAGGGAGCGCTGGAGTTTCTTGTGCGGCCTCCAGGAGTTCCTCGTCTGTGGGTTCCTCCCGTCCCGCAGACGTTTTTTTTTGCAGCCACAGGAGGCGGCGGAGAAGGAGGAGGAGGAGGGAGCGGGAGAGGTGCCTGTACTCCAGAAGCTGAAGCACAAGGGCCACGAGTTAGTGACTAGAAACAAATCAGTTGAACTGTGAGCTGCACAGACACCACAAGTCAAAGCAGGAAGCAGCTAGAGAGATGAGGATCTGACGATTATTGAGCACCAGGTGTCTGACTGTTACCAACAAAATATGAAAAGAGCACATTTCTGTCACTTACGTTGCCCTTGGTCAACTACCGCCTGGACCAGCTCTTCATCACTGGGCTCCCCAGATGCTGTGGGTGGACGAGCTGGTCTTGAGGAGGCTGGAAATCAAATCATCAAACATCAGGCTTCTGCCCCAGAAAGCGTGAGTGTGAAACACTCAATGTGCTGACCTCGAGTACAAGAATACAAACGAGATCATTAAACAGACTTACATGGAAATGCAGGCTTAGGGGCCACCATCTTTTTTAGTTTTGCCTGCATTTCCACCGCAGACAGAGAACGCCGCCCAGACACAAAGGCTGCAAATCTGAAAGGTGACAAAGTGTTTGTTTAACAGAATGTTATTTTAAGGTGTTGTAAACCATCAGAGATCAAATAGACAGAAAACATACTGAGAAGCAGCCTTCGGCCTCTGGTAAGAAGGACAGACAGACACTCTGCTGCTGCTGGAGGCGGAGGCAGCCACTGGGGTGGAGGTGGTGCTGGTGGCAGCGGCAGATGCAGCAGTAGCGCCCTCCCTCTGTCTGTCCCTCTTCTTCACGTAGCGGACGGCGTTCTCCATCTGCGAGCCTGGAGCTGGCGTCATCCTCCTTAGGTAGTTGACAAACCTGTACAGGTGAAACACAGAAGTTCATTCAGACTAACTTGTAAGTTGTTGTTGTGTTTTGACTCTATTGGTGGGAGACCATGGCTGTCTAGAAAGGAACTTACAAACTAAGTGGATTATTACTGTTATTATAAATAATACCATCATCATCATTATTAATAAAAGTAACCACCGGATCGTTTTGGGGTCCTTGGAGTCGTACAGGCTCTGCAGGCTCTCAAACTTGAAGTCCCCAAAGCCAACAAGGGCCTGTCCCTCCTGACCAGGCTGGAGGGACTTCACCCGCGCCTCCTCAAACGCCTGCCGGAACCGCACCGCCTCAGCAAACTCCGGGTACGCCAAGGAGTAACGGGTGAAGGCGTCCTGTGTGTTCACAAAGTGAAGGTTAGAATGATCAAACTCTGTTATGCACAGAGGAGGGGACCTGAGAGATCCCACCTTGTTGGCCATCAGAGGGGACTGAGAGCCTGTCCTCTCTCGCTCCTTCTGGTGAGAAGCCACCAGCATCACGGCATAGCCCACGTCATTCTGCAGGAGCCAGTGGAAAGTCTTGCCCTGGTAGGTCCCAAACTGGACCTTCCACCGGCTCAGCACGAGGGTGGCGTTGTTGACATCACCACCCTCGCTGGTGACGTGGGCCCTTGCATCCGCCTCCACCTCCTCTGGCTGCTTGGCCCTGTACCCCTGCCTCTGGGGTCCCACGGCCTTTGCCTCATCTGAGGCCCTGAGGATCAGGGTCCCATTGTGAGCCTTTTTAAAATTTGGATGTTCCATCTAAATAAAGGAGGAAACGACTGGATGAGAAGCTGCAGAAAAACCAGGTTTACAGTTCATACCAAACCTTAGCAACTGCTGATCAGTAACAGATTATCTTATTTTTCATTAATGTTATTATTAGTTTACATGACGTGCTGTCCTGTCTTATGTGAAATAAACAACATGAGAAACAAACACTCACATTTTCTACTAGCCAAAAGCTAATTAGCAAACCCAGTTATTGGCTGGATTTTCTATAAGTGAAGCTAAAACTAATCAGAGCACAAACATGCACGATCGTGATGATGAACAACATGGTTGAATAAATACTTACATGTGGTTTTTAATGCAACCAGGATGGTGTTCATTTAAAAAATTACGTAAATACAAGCACATATTGGTTAGCAGTAGCTAATGCAGCAGCACGCTAGCTAGCTAAAACAATGTTAACATTTCACAACATTAAGGTAAAAACAAAGTCCTGTACCATCTTAATCCCGCTAAACGAGCTGTAATGCTTTAAATTTTTGTAAGTTTACAAATAAAAAGTATAAAAGATAGTTACTTCTTACCTCTCAGATCTCTCAGAGCAATGTGGAGCAATGGCGGATCGCTCGGGCATGGAACAAAACCGGCCACCGGTTGATACAGCCATTTGATTGGTTAACCCAATGGAAACTCGGAACAAGCCATTTGATTGGTTAACCCAATGGAAAAATGGAACAAATGGACTGAGAAGAACTGCCTCCCCTAGGCGCAAGGATGACACGCAAATTCGTGAAGCGTTCCTCATTTTTTTTAAATAACATAACTAACCCTAATATGACACTGTTATGAAGCAGTTAGGGGCGTGTCCCCCTGCTCAGTTCCAACATTTGACCAATCAAATGACTGGGTTGTTTCAATTTTGAGAAGCACAGGTTTTCAGCATCCAATCAGAGAGCTGGATTGTTTCAACTCTGAAATAGATCCTCTTTCACTCTGAGCTGGCGTTCCTCCACTACTGAAGTGACTGAGACGTACAATTGTTACTTTAAAAAAACAATCAGACTTTTAACATGTTAAAAAAACAGTTTGTTGTCCTACGAGCGATGTTTAAGATATGGTAATATTTTCTTCTGAACTAAGGAGGAGGAGAGTAGTGTGAAATGATCTTTCACCACGTCCCCAGTTGGCACAAAGTTCTCTGTTTTCTGTATTATGTGTGTAAAAGCATGTTTTTAAACTGGTATTTCCCTGTTTATGTTCTTTGTTTAATGTTATATTATACTGATCTGCTCGTTGGGAAACTTATTCCACAATTGTACATTTGATGCCTGTACAGTACTCTCCCCATTCCTTTTCACTCTGCAGACTTCCAGAACAAGTCGGAGACCTGTCATCTGCAGAAAGACTCAGACGATTCTGCAGTCGTCGGGTTTATGAGAGATGGTCAAGAGTACAGAGAGCTGGTGGACCACTTTGTGGCGTGGTGTGGGGACACTCACATAATCTTGAATGTGAACAAACCAAATTGGATGATTTAGAAAGAAACGGGAATAGCTCAACATGCATTATTGGGGAGTAGGGGGAGGTGGTGGAAGATTACAAATACCTCGGTGTTCATCTGGACAACAGACTGGACTGGAGACACAAGCATGAAGCCATCTCCAAGAAGGGACTGAGTAGACTGTATATCTTGAATAATATTTTAGATCCTTCAAGGTCTGCAGCAAGAGGCTGCAGATCTTTTACAGGCCTGTTGAGATCTCTTGGGCCACCAGCTGTTGGGGCAGCAGCATCAGAGCCAGCAGGGACCTAAAAAGGCTCAACAACCTGGCAAAAAGGCTGGTTCTGTTCTGGAGACGACTGAGAACCACTGGAGATGATGGTGCAAAGAAGGATTTTTCATAAAATCAATAACATTATAGACAACACTGAGCATCCTCTTCATGCAACAAGCATCTTCTTCAGAGCTGCTGTAACACAGGAGATCCATCCTGCCCACAGCCTTCAGCATCTTTAACCACTCAGATTTCCAACTGAGCTCATTATTATTACTAGTATTTATTTTAAAGACTGCTTTGAATAATTAGTTAAGACAAATCTTAACTACCTTCTGGGATTAATAAAGTAATTTTGGACTTTAGACAGAGAAACTTAGTTCTGTGGAGTCGATGAAGAAACCCAATAATGAACCGGTGACACTGCTGAACTCAAACATAATTGTGAAGCTCTCTAACGTGTAATAAATGTGGCTTGTAAAAAATCCGCTCCACCACCTGCTGCTCAGCAGCAGAGTTTCTCCTCACATGTGTGACGAGGTTTTCGCCCCACGTTTGCTGGCTGTTTATCTGTGAACCACACCTGGTTTGTTGTTGGGATTTTTGTCCAGTCACACTATTTCTAACCTTCGTCCTCAGTGGTTTATTAATTTCCTCACCCAAGCTCCTGTTTTCCTGTAAACTCCTCCAAAGATGTGCTATCTACACCTGAAAAGGACGGGAGAATGGATGCGTTGAAGAGCTGAGGGAACAAGCTGTTTTCTTCAGTAAATAAATGATCCGACAAGAATACCAACAATCTAAATGTGTTAACAACAACCTGCTGTACACATGGACATGTAAAGAAAGGAACTTCACAATAAAAGCTCACTGCAAGAATTTAAAAACTTTTATTTGAAGTCATGAGTTCCAAAGATAATTAAGAGAATGTCTATGCCTAGGTCGATTTCATTCGTATAGGAAGGTAGCGGAGGCTACTGCTGCAGCTGCTGCTAGCGTGCAGGCTCCACCATCAAAGACAGCCCGCCTGCAGTACACCTGCAGCAGATGTGGTCAGCCCAAGCGGCTGGACACTGGACACACACTGCAGGCGTGTCCTACTGCGCATCTGTTGGCGGAAAAGTCTGTAGAGGAGTGGAGGGAGGAGGAGATGAATAACACTGGAGGGAGATTGGATGTGTCGAGGAGCTGAGGGACCAAGACAGAAAAACTGTCTTCATCTTTTGGATTTTTCTTTTTAAAGACTTTTTCTTTTATTTCATATATATATATATAAACGAAAACACTTTAAATCTTTGAAAGTTTTTATGATCTTGGACACATACATTTATTACATGTTTTATGACATCACAAATATATTTCAACACAGATGTATTTTTTCATATGTATTCTATATTTTACATGTGTATTATCACAAATATATTTCACAGCTCAGTGGTTCATCACAATCATAATTAAATTTAAAGAGGTAATTGTGAAAAATTATTTACATAATAATTAGTGTTATTATGCAGATTTCGCATACATTTCCACTTTTGTATTCGCACTGAGCGGGAAGGGAATCGAACCTACGCACTTCGACTCCCGGAGTGAGCGCGAGAAAACACGAGAAAACAAGCTGCAAGGAGCGAGAAGAACAAGCACCATCCGCCGAGACGGATGGTGCTTGTTCTTCTCGCTCCTTGCAGCTTGTTTTCTTGGTATCCTGGCTGGCCGTCAGGACCCTGGATCTCCTCCTGAGAAACAAAGAAAATGGGAAAAAGAAGTCAAATTTCTGAATTATCTCTGAATACGTGAAAAAACAAAATTAGGTGGGTCAGCTGTGAAATGATTAGCAGAGGGGGGATCAAAGACCTCTGAATCAGAGGAGTGTTTCTCTTCAGGAGTCTGGCTTCCAGGGACCTCGGGAGGGGCGTGATGCGCAGGGGCGGCAGGATGTGATGGCTCAGACCCGGGTGCGACAGCTGGATCCCCTGACCGGGCTGCTCCTGAAGTGCTGGTGGACGGGTCGTCAAGGACGAAGGCGGCGACGTAGTCGCCCACGTCCTCCTGTATGCCCTCGTCCAGGGCGGTGACGGCAGCAGCCTCGTCCGGAGCGTCAGGGTCCATGCTGATGTCCTCAAGCACGCGGCCTGTCTGCTGGAACAGGTACTCCACCCCGATGAGCTCACCTGAGATTTTGTGGATATGTAAACGGTTCAAAGCCCCTTCTTAGCAAAGTATTGGTGCACAGTGTCATTAAAAGTCACGAGTAAATAAAACGTGTTCCTCTGTTCGTCTACCTGTGTAAGCAGCAGGCTTGGTGAAGTCCTTAACCATCTGATGACCAAGCACCCTTTGGCTCTTCTGGTTCAGGGTGTGCCTGAGGTGGCCACTGTAGGACAGCAGAGGCGCCTCGTGTCCCTCAGCTGCCGCTGCGCGGTCCTCGTTCCACCTGACCAGTCCATCAATCAGGAACGCCTGGAAGTACTTGGCACTGGCCGACGTTCCTGCGTGATTAGATTATAAAATCAGCTTAAGCTTTTACTGACACCTGAAAAGGAACAGTTTACAGAAATAAAACAGATTTCTTGACAGATTCTGGTTTCTCACCTGGGATGAAGCGGTTCAGGTGGAGATGGAAGGACTCCAGGGCAGTGGAGCCCCTCGCGCAGCGATAGATGGGCAGCCTGACCCCTCCTTTTTGCAGACTGCCCGTCTGGGTGTACAGCTGCACGCCAGGGGGGTCCTGGATGCAGCTGAGGTGGCGCCTCTGCGTGTCCCAGATGTCCTGGATGCGGAGAGCGTTTAGCAACGGGATGTTCAGCGTGTTGTGTCCTGCGGGCCCTCTGAAGGTGTCAAGGAGGTTTTGGATGAGGAGCGTCGACTCCTCTGCTCCACGCGTCCTCCTGCGGCAGTGGAGCCTCCATTCCTCCTTGCTGATCCGCTGGATCACATCAGCGTCCGTCAGGTTGACCATCCCGTGCGTCCCCTCCAGCTCGGACCGCTTGGCTCCCACGAGACGGCGAGCATCTTCGGCGTCCACCTCAAAGATGCAGTAAGACAGCTGCCTCATGAAGGTGGGATACAGCTCGTGGCTCTCTGTGGTGACACCTGATGCGAAGCGGTGCATCAGATGCCAGATGTCCAGCCGAACAATGAGCTGTTCCCACTCCTGCGACAGAGAGGTTAGTCATTGGAGTGTTGCACACCATGTTTTACCTGCACCACAGTCAAGATCAGAACCCCAAAAACATTCACTGCTCTATAAATTGTCTTTTACAGAAATTTATTTGGGTGTCTGATTGTTTTAAATTTTTCAGAGAGACATTGGGTAGAAATTCAGGTGACCTGGTGATCCATTAAAGTAATTCACAACAAAATAATGAATCATTGCTATGAAAAATTAAATAAACAACTAAATAAGTCAGTCAGCAACGATGCAAGTTTATACCGGAAATAAGGCAGCCGTCTTGGACACGCCGTCCTGTTTGCAGCAGTCGCGGTCCACGTAGATGAGCTGGGGGGCAGGTACCTCGGCTAATCGGTACCGCCTCATCAGTCCGGCCGCCATCTTGGACAGGCCCTCGGAGCCCTCGCAGCAAGTGAGGACGCTCATGAGGACCTGGCCGTGCTCGTTGCCCACGTTGGTAGCCCAGGCGGCACCTGCGAGCTTCTTCGTCACCTGCACACAGAGAACTTCCTGCGTAAAGACCAGCAGAACTGTTGTTCACAAGCAGCAAGTAAACACAACGCGGTGACCGACCTTCTTTGTGGAATCCATCTTTAGGATGGATCCGAAGGTGGACGTGATCCTGGCCTTGTACTCGTCCAGCCGCGTCAGCACGTCGTAACCGTAAACGGTCAGCAGCCAGACGGGTGAGGGCACAGGGGGCATCTGGGGAGGTGGTGCGATCTGCCCCCTTGTGGTACCCAAGGCCAGGAACTGCTCGCAGACGCCGAGGTACTGAATCGCTCTCCGCATCCAGGCGTCGGAATGCTGCTCCCGCAGGGTGTTGCACAGCTGAGTGGCACTGTTGCCCAGAGTGCGAGATCTCAGCATAGCAACCACCCTCTGGTCACAGGACAGCCTGCGTGAACAAAACAAACATTACCACATTATACTCTGCTGGACACACCCGCATGAGCACAGTTTCACTCTTCTCATACTTGTACATGAGGACAGCTGGGAACTGGCAGCTGTAGGTGGGGGGCAGCTGCCTTAAGATGCCCTGTGACCACCCTCCGACCTTCTTCTTACATCGACGGCACTCCAGGTACTCAGTGGCCATGAGATACCAGCCGTCGATGTCCAGGACCCTCCGGATGGTCCTGTAGAGCCCAGTCTTTATCAGGATGCCGCTGCACAAAGGCTGGGGGCACGTCAGCTGCAGGTGCCACATCCTGTGAGGCATCCACAGGAAGAGCCGACATGCAAAGAAGGGGTCGGGAGAGGCGGGAGGCTGATTGTAGACCGCCCGGGGCTGGGGAGGGTACCACCAGGGACTGAGCTCCGTGATGAGATGCGGCCTCCCAGCATCGTCCCTGGTGAACAGCACCCGGCCGATCCACTCCTGCTGTTCTGCAGTCAGAGCTGCCTGCCAGGACTCAGGCAGCATCTAGAGAGAGAGAAAACAAAGCAGCAGAGTAAGAAAGGCGACTCGGGTTGCAGTCACCAACTCTTGTCATGTGTCTATGCCCATATATGTCTGCTCTCAGAATTGTGTACTGAAACTAAGTTCCCTCTGTGTACTGCCTCTGCTAGGGATGGGCAGTCAGCTAAACTCCTTCCCCACATCAAGACTCTGACGACACGATTCCCGGTTCACAGGTTTATTGACACAGGGAAAGGTGAAACTGTAACAAACAGTACAAGGCATAATCACTGTACTTATTCACCATGTACATATATAACGATGAAAATGTATTAACCCAGTTTCTTTTTAAATATGTCAACATGCAATGTCCATATGAATTACTTATCTTTTTAACTCAAATACAAACATCAAATTATGATTTTAACAAGTCTCGCTATAATGAATGGTTTTAATGTGTTTGCTGTTCCCCTTTAACTAGCTCCATTAGCGATTGCTAGCTCAAACTGCACAAGATCGGTTTTATCATTTAACTTACAAAAAAAAATGAACTTACTCGAAAGAAAATGATTTATGCATGCAAATAACATATAAAACAAGTCTATACATACCCACAATGCTACCAAAGACATAGGATGTGTGTGGATGCCACTGGATTTATCTGGCTAAGGTCACAGTTTAGGGATGGGTACCTTTGACATTTGAATCGATCCGGTACTAATTCCCGGTACCTACGAATCCATACCGGTACTTAACGGTACCAATTTTCGATACTTTTGAGTGTTTAATATTTTAATTCTCTTTTATAATTAAATATATATTTTTCTCAATTTATAACCATATTTGATAAATATCATGATAAATAACATACAACTGTTTGTATTTTCACATCGTCCTTGTAGTTTTATAAGCTGATAATCAAATTGAAGCAAACATCTTTACTGTAAACTAAATTTACTGTGTATCTTCATTCCTTTTGCCGTCTTTTTTCAATTGATTTTTCCTATTGGGAAGTTAGAATTCCCGAGGAGGAAGCGAACGCACCATTAGATGATAACAATGGTGGCATAGGAAGCCAACATATCAAGCTACGTTATCTTAAACAGTTTATTTAACTGCTGGAGCAGATTAAAACGATGATGCCTCACACTTAGATCGTTGTCGCTGGTTTCATCTTCACCCAATCACCCGTCGCATTTAGTAAAATGAAGCCAAACTTTAGAGTGCGTTCATGTTCTTCTAGTCGGAATTTCGGAGTTCCGAGGAGAAAGCGAACGCACCATTAGTGAAACGGAAGCTAACAAATCAAGCTAATGTTATCTTACATTTTATTTACCTACCGGAGCAAATTAAGATGAGGATGTCTCACTTAGATCTTTGTCGCTGGTTTCATCATCACTCAGTTACCCATCACATTTAGTGAAGTGGACCCAAGCTTTAGCGTTCGTTCTTTCTACCATGCTGCTCTGTTTACAACTCGCTCGCAGCGACCGATGACATAACGCTCTTGCGCATGCACAGCTGTCTAGGCAAGTTCTCGTTGTGAAGGATGGGTACCGAAATGAGGCACCGTTTCAAATGAAGTGAATCGGTGCTCGGTCGGTACTGTGGAATTCGGTCGGTACCTTAAAAAGTACCGAATTCGGTACCCAACCCTAGTCACCATGCTGCACATGCCTTCTCCTTAATTCACAGACTTACTTCCTATTTACTGATCACATCATGTCCTGTTACCAACTGCAAGTTTTTAAGGTGGCACCAGGGAGTTACAATTGCATATTTAAACATTTACCTAATACAAGAAAACAGTCTTCCTTAACATAATCTTTAATATCAGAACACTCCCCGCCTGGCGTGATTAACGCCACCACACTTTGCCAATGACAGTTTAACACCTAGACATTTGGAGCCAGAAGAAGTACTATTTCTGTAATGGTCTGACAAACAATGTTTCTCCTCCGGGCTTGATGACCTTGACCTCGACCTGGCGAACTTTACCATCTTTGCTTTGGAAGGTCTGTGTTATCAGACCAAGTGGCCACTTATTTCTTTGTACTTGGCTGTCCTTGAGGAGAACAACATCCCCTGGCTTGTTGTTTACATATCTGGGTGGCCTGGTATTTTTCTGGGCCAACCAAGGCTCATTCTCAGCCCTCTTCTCGAGGGGGTCTGCTTCAGGCCGACCAGGGCCAACACACCCACTGCTGACAGCAAATTCACACCTTCCATTAGAGCAAGCCTCTGATTGGTGGGTAGAATCAGCCCACATGGGCTTAAGGCAAGGATGTGTGTAATCAACCGGGCCAGGCTGGGGCCGACTGGGGCTACCCGGCCCGGGCCGACCCGGTACAGATGGGAATGGCCCAACAGTTTACCTTCTGTGTTAGAAGAGCAGCTGGCGTAAGAATGAATGAGTTATCGGGGTCAGTTTAACAGGAACAAGAGGTCGGGCATTAATAATGCCTGCTGCTTCTGCCATGAAAGTTACCAACACTTCATGGGTAAGCTTCCCTTTGAGCTGGAGGAACATGGAGTCAAGAATCCTTCTAGCCAGACCAATCATCCTTTCCCACATTCCACCAAAGTGGGAGGCATGTGGAGGGTTGAATGTCCAAGAGCATCCTTGGGCTGACAGGTAAGACTTGACACCATTGTGGTCGACGTTAGAAGGTATCTTCAAGGCCTGACAAGCACCCACGAAGTTAGTGCCTCTGTCTGATCGAATACTTTTGACTGGCCCTCTGACTGCAAGAAACCGCCTTAATACGTTGATAAAGCTGGACGTGTCAAGGGATTCTATGACTTCAATATGTACTGCTCTTACGCTCATACTAGGGCTGTCGCGGTAACCGCAAAAATGAAATATCGCAATATGAAGAAGCCCACCGCGCTGCATCATGGGCCACCGCGATTACTGAACTTGGTTCAACTCAATGATGCATGTTGAGAAGGATGGCTGCACTGGTATAAAAACGAAACGTTACTTCGCTCCTTTGGGAGCACTTTGGTTTTCAGTACGTCAGCTGCTGCGCAGCCAGAGTCCTTGGCCGAGACAGAGCTGCCACCAGCGGCAAAAAAAAAAAAAAAAAAAAAAAACGCTCGGAGACCTGCTGAAGTCCCGGACAAGCACTGCTTCTGCAACCGTCCCGAAGAGAGTTTGAGCCGAGCTGGAGCTCACTCGCTACCTGCAGGAGGAATGCATCCACCCTAAAGAAACCCCCCTGACATGGTGGAGCAACAACCGGGAGAGATTCCCTTTGCTTGCCAGAGTCGCACGCAAGTATGTGTGTGTTAGTGCAACGAGCGCACCATCCGAGAGGGTTTTCAGTGTTGCTGGAAATGTTGCCACCCCTCTCAGATCCTCTCTCAAACCGTATATGGTTAACATGCTGGTTTTCCTTGTAGGTAACAAGGACGTGACCGAGCTATAAATCACCGTCATTCGTGTGTGTGAAAGTGAAATGATAGTGCGCCCCCCCCCCCCCCCCCCCCGGCGCGCGCGCGCCCGGTACATGTAATTTTTTATGCTTGATTTTAAACAACTAAACAAAATGGGGACTTGTTTATTATTTGTTAGATGCTGCAGCCAAATTTGCATTTATAAGTTTAACCTTCTCCTGAATTTTGTTGTTTTTAAGTTCAGTCGGACTCCGACTGTCGGAGAAACAAACGTTACTGCGATCTGTGTTGTTACTGCCCTTTGATCTGCATTCAGTAAAGTGTTATAAAAGAAGGCACGGCAATTTTTAACCTTTTTTAAATGTGTAAGCATTATGTTTAGATAGTACTGCAATAAAAAAAGGGCTGCAATAATATCGCACACCGCAATATTAAGCCACCCTGAATCACCGCAGGGGGAATTCCTCAACCGCGACAGCCCTAGCTCATACATGTAAAAATCACAGCCCACCTTTTGCTGTGTGAGAGGCCTCCTCTAGTCCGGCGTGCAGAAACACTCCAAGGACCAAACACATCAAGGCCAACATTTGTGAAGGGAGGGTCTGTTGAAACACGATCTGCCGGAAGGCTGACCATTTTTTGACAGCTTACTGGAGCTCTGAGTCTTCCGCATGTCACACATCGGTAGATGCTGCTGCTCACTTTTCTCTAGCCACCAACAATCCAAAACCCAGCTGAATGGACAGCCCCTTCCGTAAACAGACGCCTTTGATGGTGAACTTGTTCGTGGTACTGTCTAATGAGCAGGGTCACAATATGATGATTCCCTGGAATAATCACAGGAGACTTCTCTCTCTGAGCAAGGCTTGAATAGTTAAGACGACCTCCGACTCTTAGTAGGCCATGTGCATCAATAAAGGGATTGAGACTTTTCAGAGGACTACTTCTGGGAACCTCTTTGTGTACCATGATACATTTGATCTCCTCACCATAAACCTCTTCTTGGACTGATCGAATGATGATGTCTGAGGCTTGAGTGGATTCCTCAACACTCAATCCTGTCTTGCAAAGATGCCAGCCCTTACAAAGTCTGTTTGTTGTGATCAAGTTGTAGCAACTGGCAATATGTTTCAGATGGGCGATTGCACGAGTCAGTGACCGCCACGAAGAAAACTTGGTGAATCGTTGGGACCCAAGTTGCTTGGATGCTGTGGCAGTGCTTAATGTAGACACAAACGGTCGGATGTCTGGATCTGAACCTGGTTCCACAAGATCAAAGGTGATACCAGGGACATCTTGCTCTGATTTGGACAAAAACCTGGGTCCACTAAGCCAGTTGGTGTCTTTTAAAGTGCCCGCAGCAACCAAACGTGTTGCATGGTCTGCAGGGTTCTGGTTTGTGGCCACGTAGCGCCACTGGCGTGGACTGGAGGATCTTCGAATGCGCAGGACTCGATTGCTTACGTACACATAAAATCGCCTAGTCTCATTGCAAATGTAGCCCAGAACCACCTTGCTATCTGTGTAATAAGTCACAGCATTAAGCGGAAGATCAAGTTCTGCTGAGATCAGGTCTGACAACTCAACAGCCAGTACTGCTGCACAGAGCTCCAATCTCGGGATTG